TATACTCATTGCTTATAGTAATCCTTCGGTTAGAAGCCTTGAGATAGATCCTATTGAATAAGAGAGAGAGAGAGAGAGAGAGAGAGAGAAAGAAAGAAAGAAAGAAAGAAAGAGAGTAATAGGAATGGGTAATTGAGTTAACTGTTTGGTGTGAATTATATATTTCTAAAAGAGATAAATTATATTATTGTGGGTTGAAAACCCTACGTACTCACCAGGTTTCCCAACCAGACCCACTCAGTTTCTTTGTATCACAGTTAGCGATACAAAGGTACATGCACAAGGAGACATTCAAGGAGATGTGACTGTTAGTATATTGAGATATTATAAGTCTCCGTTTATGCTTATGTTTATGTTTTATATTAGTTATGAAATCCCGAGTTTTAAAAATACAAACAAAACACATTTCTTCGAAAATGCTTTGATAATCTTATTATCATGTTTTTAGAAAAAATTCCGCATAATTAATAATTTTAATAGAATACTTTGATTTAATAAGCATAAACAGATCAATATTTTTTTGGCCGTAAAAATGGAGATGTCACACATGCCCCTCCGAGAATGTCCAGATATCCTAATCATGCCAACTCCTTACCTTTCAACCCGGAAGGACCTGTATCTAAATCATAAAGTAGCAACTATAAGTCTAGGGCTTAGTGAGAGTAATCACAACACTTAATCACTATATAAATTATATGCATTCTTTAACTTACACATAACATATAGCTAAACTCATAACCATATAACTGACCATATATATATATATATATATATATATATATATATATATATATATATATATATATATATATATATATATATATATATTAACCACTTCCCTTCGAGAGCTCTACCATGGTCTTGACTCCTCTAGATTCCCTTCGATAGATCTATCTTTTGTCCAGATGACATACAACATATAATCTACATATTAAGCAAGTTCATGAGAATTCACCTCGGGTAACTGACTAGCTAATCCACACGGCAAGCTAGGTGGCACTAACACCGCCTGAAATAATTACACAACAATTAACTCTGATTTAGAAATTTATGCACATACTTAACTTTCTCCACTAAATGAGTGTGTCCTCACTTAGTCCTTATCTTGAGGAAAAAGACCATTTTTACGTTCCTTAAAGACCTGAGTTGGACTTTCACGGACTTTTGAATAAAAGTAAAACTGGTCAAAAGTCAATCATCAATGGTCAACAGCCCACCGTGTCGTGGTCTGGTCTAAACAAAATTGACATGAGTTAAATGACCATCGTACCATGGTTGGTCCATGACCATGTCGTGGTGGGTCCGGGAGGTTAAAACTTCCATTAAGCACTTAATTCGTTGAGTCAAAGTCCCATACTTTATAGAATACATCAATACTATCTCATGGTCCATAAAAATCAAAACTTTATGGACATGCATGTCCAATGCATGTCTCACACCATTCTAGGTCAAAATGGTGGAAATAAGATCATAACTCCAAGCATGGAACCAATTAGAGATTAAACACCATATCCATAATACAAAACACTCCTAGAGCCTTAAGGAACAACAAAGTAGCAACCTTTATCTTGGAGTTCTCCAAAACACCATTCAAAATCCATAAACATGACAAGAACAAGCATAAAACTCAAGATCCAAGAAGTAATACGCATAAAGGTTGAATCTTGACAACTTACAATGTTCCAGGAGTAGCTAACACTGAAGAATCAGAATCACAATACACTTCACAAGCTCCAAGAGAGTTGGATCTTCCTTCCAAAGCTTCAAGAATACCACGAACTCAAGGGAGGTGGAGAGGAGATTCTTAGGGATTCTAGGGTTTTAACTGAGGAACGGAAGGCTAGAGAATTGAGTAACCCTAATCCTTACATTCCTTAAATAGAGCCCAAGACCCGAGGACTAGGGTTTTGGGTTGTGGTAGACCCGTTCTTCATTTAATGACGTGGTCGCGCTGCAGACACCAAACCACCATGTCGTGGTTGGAGGTTTTTCCCCAAAACCTTAAGTTAATTAATCCAGAAAACGGGTGCTACATTATATATGATATGTTGATTCCCAGTCAGCGTCATGTTGTTTATGTTTTTTTTGTCACACTCTTTAATTTAAAGTCTTAATAATACACGATTAAATTTATTATTATATGTATTATGTTTATTAATGATTCTTGGGTACCCTAGGGATTGGGATTGCCAGAACAAAAGCTTTAAGGCCACTTACGTTCTTTTGGCGTAACTGGGAATCTGGTTCTTTAACCAATCCACCCAATTACAACATTGTATGTTTTTTTCCTTTCTTATTAGGAGAATCATATTAAATTATTCGTTGACTAATAGTAATAAAACTGTGTTCTTTGTTATAGGTAGCCATCATACTCGAAACTAACATTCACAAGGGGAAGCTTGGTGAATATCATGTCTAAGTTCTTGTTGTCATTTTTTATTAGACTTTGGTAGGTTTTGGGTAGTTCTTGACTTACCCTTATTATTTGTTTCATAAATAGTAGATTACTTTTTTTGTTAAACAACATAATTGGGTTTTAAGTTTTTGGTCAACTTTTATTCCTATTATTATAGGTTATGTATACAATTACTTGACTTGCATATTACTTTCTTTTTAGTGAAATCCTAACCAAATTTTGTATCATGTAAACCTATGTATACACTTAATCTGATGGATTATTTCGTGTTATTGAAAACTACATGGTTATCCTACCGCAACGCTCAGACGGGTCATCACCTAGTTACATTAAAATGTTAACGTCTTATCCAAATAATTGTTTTTTAATGTCTGGTGTTTAATGGTAGTTTAATGACAATGTACTTTTTTTCAATGTTTGATGTCTTAATCGAGTTCTTAATGGTAGTTTAATGACAATGTACTTTTTATATAGTTTGGATGATTTGGTTTGATTTTGGGTTTGTTTAACCTTTTTGTATGAAGGCACTAAAGAAAGTGGGATAACAAGTTTGGATGATTTGGTTTGATTTTGAGTTTGTTTTAATGTTTAAATGTAATGTATTATTGTGATGCATAACATGTTTTGATGATTTGATTTGCTTTTGTTGCAATATTAGAATACTATTAATTTCTATTTGATTAAATGATTTTATGAACTTATTTAGTGTTGTAAGTCTATTAAAGGTTTTAATTTCTCATTGTTCCATTGTAGTTTTTCCAAACAATATTAAATTTTTTTGGCATAGATTTCGAGTTTTGGGTCGAGTTTTCAGGTCTATATCGGGTTTCGTGTTTAGGGTCGGGTTTGGAAAAAAATTCAGCCCCGTTAAGAAACTCGTCGAGTATCGGGTCGGGGATTGGAAATTTTTTGTTATTGAGTTCGGGGGTGGGATACCCTACCCCTCCTCGTTGCCATTCCTAACCCCAATATCCCCAAAATGATGATATCGAAGGGTGCCGGAAACTCAACTAAAATCATCAAGAAGGAAAACGGAAGAAAACGGAAAAAAAAACCGTCGAATATATTAGGACGAAGATAAGGAAGCAGTGCTTGCAAAAGCTTGGATTTCAATATCTTTAGATGGGATGACAGGCAACACCCAAAACGGGACGACATGTTGGAACTGTGTCCCATCACACTTCCACTCATAAAAACTTCCACTCATAAAATGTGAGAAGGTGAATACTGGACTTACAATGATGTCAATGGAAAATGACACCATCCAGGATCTACTTTTATACGTTTTAATGACATCTGAGCTTGCTAAGTCACTCGCAATCCACCGACTCCAACAAACGAGCGACTTTAGAGTCGGATGCGAGTTTTAGGATTTGATCTCAATGATGATGTTGACGAAGAGGAGTCGCATGATGTCACCCTTTGACGCCTGATTGGAAGGTACAAATCGAAAAGAATGACATCACCATCGACAAATGATCAAAAGGAAAAAAAGCGTTGTTGAAACAGATGTCGTGCATGTGCTTTCACAAAAGCTTGACGATCATCTTTTTTTTCAAAAAAAGATAGATTTAAAGACTTCCACTCGCATGAGAGGAGAAACATATACTTAACGACTTTAAAATTATAAACACGCTTCCACATACGGATCTTCTACCCGATCAAATCGAGGTTTTTTAACAAGCTCAAATGCAAATGAAACACAAATATAAGGAGTATAAGTTTTACTTTTTAACATAATTTTTAATTTTAGTGTAATGTTTTTCTTAATATTTTTTAGGTTTTTAATGTAATTTTATATTTTCCTTTTTAGTAATGTAATTTTTATTTGTTTTAATGAAAAATTTATTTTGTTTTAGAAAATGTTATGCTTTTATTAAGATTACTTAATTAAAATAAATAAAAAATAAATCGTATATAGATGCTATGGAATTGTAGGTATTTTCTAATTAAGGTTAGTACGACATAGTAGAAATACAATTAACCTCATACTTTTAAATAAGAGAAATTAAATTACCTCCTATTTTTTATGCCTACAAATATTTCTACCTATTAAAATTATGACATGTGTTACCATTTCATATTTACTTAACTATCTCGTTAAGAGTATATTAGGAATATATCAAATAAAATTAAATTGAATGATGGAATAATGACACGTATCATAATATTAGTGGATAGAAATATTTGTAGGCATAAAAGATAGGAGGTAATTTCTCACCGCTCCTTATGGTCTTTTCAATCAACGACAAATTCACAAGAAAAACCTTAGTCATGGTTGGCTAGAAAGTTAATGCAGATACCGATGGAAAATCATTGGTGGTTTCCTAAGCCGTTCGTTATTCTTTTGTGGTTAACGGTGAACCATTCGTTTAACAATAGCCTTACAATAAAAGTCAATGGTCAACTAGTCTCGATATATTTTCAATAACGATAAAAATAAGTAGAAGAATGTTTCAAACTATAATATAAATATATTTTTAATAAATAATAAAATAAGTAGAGGAATGTTTAAACTATATAATAAGACCAATAAGTATTATAATAAACAAAATATTGCAATTTCATAAAGTTACAAGAAAACATGCTTCTTCTTTTCATCCTTGTTCTAACCTGGATGCTGCCATTACCTGAGGGCAATTTTGTAGGTGCTACAGCTATAGCAAAGCCAGGTTGCCGAACAAAATGTGGGGAAGTGACAGTTCCATACCCTTTTGGCATCAACTACATAGTAATGCCAGGAGGCTACGTAACAGAGCAAAACTGTTCCTTAGAAGATACATTTGAGCTGACCTGCAACTTGACTTCAAAAGCTCCAGAGCTTTTTATTGGGACGGGGAACCTCAAGGTATACAATATTTCAGACTCAGAGATGAGAATTTCCGTTTCAATTGCCTTCAGATGCTACGACAGTTATGGGAATATAAGTGAGAATAAAACTTCCTGGACTGACATTCCAGAGAGGTTCCCCCTCACATTTTCCCAGAAGAACAAGTTCACTGTCATCGGATGCGATGATTATGCATGGATAAGAGGGCCACCAGGATCCGACTATGCTAGTGGCTGTATGGGGATATGTAACAACCCAAGTCGTGTGCCTGATAATGGGACATGCTCAGGAAGTGGCTGTTGTCAGACATCAATACCACATGGTCTCCAATATTTCAATATTACACTTGGCTCTTTCAATAACCATGGCAGTGTGGTGTCCTCAAATCGTTGCGGTTTTGCATTTCTTGCTGAGGAAGAGAGCTTTAAGTTTGGTGGTGCTCGTGATATGTCTAATGCTACAGAGTTTTATATAAAGACAAGGTCCAATGTCCACAGGGTTCTGGATTGGGAAATCAGAGGCAATCCGAATTGCTTAGAGCCTACGGTATGCAAGGGAAATAGCTTCTGAAAGAATGCCAGTATTAGTGGGTATCACTGCAGCTGCAAGGAAGGTTACCAGGGCAATCCTTATCTTGAACCCGGCTGCGAAGGTCAGTTTCAATTTTAAAGCAGAATCAATTCCAGTAAATAGAACATGAATAACATTATAATATGTTGTTCATCATGTTTATATATTTATTTATTTATTTTTACTTTTCTTCATCATTCTATAATAAGTTTGCAAATGCTAGAAAAATATCAAACTTTGTCTTAAATTTTTTCGTCAAAGATCTTCATAATATAATACTAATATACTATGCTCGTAATAACTACGAGTGGTGGGTGTGGGCAACGCCCCACACGCGTTACTAGGAGAAAAAGAAGGAAATGGCGTTATTAGGTGTTATGGTGGTAACAGGAAGCAACGGGGATGCCTTTAACATGGAATAACATGGGAGGGGGCGGTGTTCATTGGTGTTATTAGGTGTTATTAGGCATAATAACGGGAGTGGGCGTTGCCCACTTCGAGTAGCCTAACTGATCAGAGCATCTTCAATTACAAATTCTTAAAGATACCAATAATATAGAATCATCCATTGCAAAAAATTGCGAATGTGGACTAACCTATTTTGTTGAGGTGGAAGTCTCTTTGAGGGTTCAAATCCGACCGTAGGCTAATTAACTCTCCGGTGAATTTAACTTTAACTACTAACCAGCACTTAAAAAAAAAATATATTGCACAAAATTACTTTGTTGATCAATATTACCAACAACTTAGATTTTATTAAATGGTTTTTTTGAGTTTCCTGCTAATATATATTTAACCCCTTTGTTCAATAATATTGATTTTATTCTCGAGTAATATTTTACTCTCAAATGTTAATTGATTACTTTTTGACTACTTGATTTTTTTAATTTTAATCTCCCATCTTAAATTTTACGAGGTCATATAATTTGTTTAATTTTACACGGGCATACTATATATATATATATATATATATATATATATATATATATATATATATATATATATATATATATATATACTAGGTGTGAGACCCAAGGTTCTAAAAAGCTCGCCATGGCTCCGCCATGGTGCGTCACGGCTCCAAGGCTTGCACTTGCCGTCAAGCTTTGCTAAAACGCCGCCTTAACTCATATATGTGTATAAAAATGAATAATAGTTGAAAATACATATAAAAATATTAATTATATAGAAGATTGCCGCCTTAAGTCACGCCTTGCAAACGCCATGACTCGCCAAGGCTCGGAAAAGTTTGAGGCTTGACATTGCCGCCAAGTCACGTCTTACGTTATTTAGAACCTTGGTGAGACCTATGTATTATATGGGTTTATTTTAAAAAAAAATTAAATATAAAATTTTAACAATTTGAAAATTTTGAATTTATAAGAAAAATGAGAATTTTTTTGAATTATTAAAATTAATGATGCTTTAATGTATTGAATACATTACATATATAAACTCTTTCTAATAAATACCTTACATATTAAATGTGAAATTTTAATTTAATAAAATGAAAAATACAATGAATTTACAAGAGTAAAATAAAAAATTTAAAAATTTTAGAAAATGTCATGTGTCCAAATGAAAGAGAAGAGGACATGTGGCAAAAAACTTTCATTTATTAGAGTATATATATATATATATATATATAATATATATATATATATATATATATATGCAGTAAATAGAACTTGCATAAAATTGTAAATCATTGTTAGCTATTATGGTTCTTGTTGTTCATGTTTTCTATATCTTCTTCTTCATTTGTGATAAGACTCAACAATGATTGTGTATGTATTTCATCTCTTATTAGAATATCTATAATGCATAGTTCAATTGGAGAGTTGAATAGAGATGTCATACGCCTACTTGGCGGATTAAACTCAATCATTGTTGGATGCCATGTTGACATCTAATTGATATGAAATTCAACGGTCATTGAAATCTTTTGTGGGAAAAAAGAAACATTTTAATTATTAAAAATATATTTCATTGAACTTTATAAAGTTTGATGTATTGTATAAAAATTAATATAGATTTCTATAGAATGTAAAATGATAATGTGTCAATCTATTAAACTTTAATAAGTTCAATGCAGTGTGGATGTTCTTAATTAATATTAGTAAACCAGAATATGTGACATTTTTTTTATCTCTTTTACTTAATATATATGTGGATATCTTTATTTGCTAGACATCGACGAGTGCAAGGATAATAGTACATACCCTTGTTATGGCAATTGCAATAATACTCCAGGGAATTACACCTGTACTTGTTTAGTCGGATACGAGGGTGATGGGAAAACGAAAAATGGGTGTCAACGTAAAGCTTCAAAGTTTCCAGTGATGGCATTATCTTTAGGTATGTGTAATTTTTTTTTGAACCATCAAGGTTGAAAGGGAAATCACTGCTCCATTTGTCTTGATTAAATTATCCATTTTACAATTTCAAAATATCTTGTATATAACTTCTTACTAAACCATAACCCACCAAAAGGCTTATACCCAAACGAGTGCCCCGCAACCCAAGTGGTTGCCGTTTGGAATAGTGGTGTAATTTATGAGTACAAAACTAAACCCCATAATTAAACATTGAGCCTTTTCTATACGTTCTACAGTTCCTTCTGAAGCTTGTTCTCTTCCGTCTGCTTATTCAGTTCTACATTTAAATTCTGTACCCTTACTATCGGAACCAATAACTTCTCCTCACTACAAATAATGATGCCCATCTCCAAACTTCTAAACCAGATTAACTTCAAGCATAGTACGAATTCACTTTTGTTATATGAGCAGATCCGTTTTAAATTTCCTTCTGATTCTTTTCATTACATGCATTTATATTTTAATATTATAACGCAATAACTATTAATTGTTTTTCTTTTATTTTCACATGTAGCTCTGGTCTTTGGCTTACTTGCCATATTATCTGGGATAAGTGGGATTTTCCTTGGCGTAAGGAAGAGGAAACTCATAAAGCTACGAGAAAAGTTTTTTGAGCAAAATGGGGGTGAGTTTATGAAACAAAAGCTCAAGGCAACAGGGGCTAATGACGCTGTGACTATGTTTAGCACAGATCAGCTTCAAAAAGCAACTGATAACTATTCTGAGGAGCGAATTGTTGGCCGAGGTGGTTATGGTGTAGTGTATAAAGGATTCTTACCAGATAATCGTGTTGTCGCAATAAAGAAGTCTAAAATAGTGGATGGGAGTCAATCTGAGCAATTCATCAATGAAATCTGGATCCTTTCACAAGTTATCCATCGAAATGTGGTTAAGTTGTTAGGCTGCTGTTTGGAAGAAGAGGTACCAGTACTAGTTTATGAATTCATCTCCAATAACACACTTTTCTATCACATTCATCATAAACCTGGTGGAATGAGTTGGTTATCATGGGAGAATCGACTGAGAGTTGCTGCTGAAGCTGCATCTGCACTTGCATACCTTCATTCACAAGCTACTATGCCTATTATACACAGAGATGTCAAGTCCGCCAACATATTATTAGATGAAAACTACACCACAAAAATATCAGATTTTGGTGCTTCAAGGTTGGTCCCTTTAGATCACGATCAAGTCACTACTCTTGTTCAGGGCACACTTGGTTACTTGGATCCTGAATACTTCCACACAAGCCAATTAACCGACAAGAGTGACGTTTATAGCTTTGGCATGGTCCTAGCAGAACTCATAACTGGGAGATTGCCAATTTGTGCAGCTAGAACCAATGAAGAAAAAAATTTAGCAACCTACTTTGTCAAGTCAATGAAAGAGAACCGTCTTTTTCAAATTGTTGAACCACGATTATTACAAGAAGGGACTCTTGAGCAGCTACAAACAGTAGCTGAGCTAGTCAAGAGATGCCTTAACTTACTAGGAGATGAAAGACCTACTATGAAAGAGGTGGCAATGGAGCTAGAGGGCTTGAGGAAGTTCACAACTCATCCTTGGATTCAACAACATGAACAAGCGCCTGAAGAATCTAGAAGCTTAATCCTTGAAGTTGAACAATCTGATCTTTATGGTGTCCCGTTAATCCCATATAGTAGTAACGAATGGGAATCGTACTCAGGAATAACAGAAATGGCGTTTCAAGAAAACAAACCGCGCTAAGTTTGAGGGTGTTGGTTATAGTCCCAGTTGTTTGATGAATCTTGCATCATGCTTTCTCCCAAAACTGTCATTACCATTTCAATTGTTGTCTTCATTCTGCTATGTCAAGTCTATGCTTTATTTGTTTTAGTTCATTTGCATGGTGTGTCTTCCAGAGTTGTTGAGTTGTTTACCGCTAGTCTGGTAGTTTCAATGAGTTTGTCTGGTTGTCCTATTGAACTTCCGTGTATCAGGAAAATTAACTACTCATTCTTGATTTCTTGTAATTGCTTTTAAATAATTGGCCCATGACTCCCGGTGATTTTAGAATTTTTGCTTTCAAGATGAGCTTTTAGACTAGAGGAAGTAGTAGCACTCTTAGCACGTTGACATGTAGGATTTTTTTTAGTTTTTTTAAAGCCACGTAAGCTTAGCAAATATAGCACAAACACTACAAGAATCCACACCTATGCAGACATCTATGTCGACGACATGTGTTGTCTGTAAAAGTCGGGATATAGGGACCACATTTTGTCAAAGTTGACCAAATGCCATGTTGACCAATTTCTTGACAAGTCGTCGGGGTAGGTAGGGCGCGAAAGTAAAAAAAAAATCCCGCTTTTCTTAAAATCTATTCCGAAGACAAGTTGTCGTTATAGAAAAAAAATTCTATTTTTTAATTGTAATGTTGAAGATAAAAGAGAACGATATCGTTTTTTTGACCTCTATCCTGCCGACACATCGTCGGTATAGAGGTAGGTCGATCCGTGTGAAATGTATGCTGACGACATGTCATCAGAATAGGTTTATTATTTTTATTTTTTAAAATTAAGATGGAAAATACTAAACAACATTGTGTTTATTTACCCTATACCGACTACGACATGTCGTCGGTATAGGGTTTCTGTAGCACCTGGTTCTTGGTATGTATTTTTATTTAAGTATTTTGCATTTTTGGCCTTGGACTCGGCGAGTCGAAGGACCAACTCGCCGAGTAGAAGCAGGACGAGACGCGGGATTTAAGTGATGGACTCGTCGAGTCGGGTCCCGGACTCGACGAGTAGGCTCTATATGGACTAAACCCTAATCTGAGGGTTTGCACCCTATTTAAACAACCTTATACAGCCTTCATCGCCCCTTTATGCTCCCAAACACCCTCTATAGAAAACCCTAGCCGTTGTTGAAGTAATCTAAGCCATTTTGGTGGAGTTTTGTGTTGATAGTCTTAAGAAGGAAGGAGAAAGGCTTGAGGAAACAAGAGGAGACCAGAAGGGTTCGAGTTTGTGCTTCATCTTCAGCCATCAGAAGGTATAAAGTTGCTAACTTGCTTGTTCATTTGCTAGATCCCATTTGGTAGAGATTTAGGGCTTTTAAAGCCACCTTAGGTAGCCAACCATGAATGCAAGTGTGGTTGCGGACAAGGCTTCGGATCTAGGTCCTTAAAGGGGTCACAAGGCAGAAAGTGGGTGCTTTTACACCCAAGAAAGACTCCATGCAACCCAAGAGCTTGTTGTAGGACCTTTTGGACTCAAAGTCCCATGCATGCACGTGAAGTTTGTAACTTTACGTGCTAGAACGATTGTAGGAGCCCAGATCTACCTTTTGGTCAAGTGTTGTACCTCAGAAATCGAGGATTTAGTGTGTGGATGTCATCGACTCGGCGAGTCCGTTCTTGGGACTCGACGAGTCCAAGGCTTTGAGTCCTATATCTGTTGAGGGTCAAAAGGACTCAGTTGGGTGTTAGAGGAGTTGTAACAAGACAGAAAGAGTGACCCAACACATTGGAATTAATTTTAGACCTGGAGTTCATGGGACTCGACGAGTGCTAGAACAGACTCGGCGAGTCCAAGGCAATCTTCTTATGGATGAAGATGAACTCGACGAGTTGTTCATACAACTCGGCGAGTCGAAGTCAGGACTTGTTCATCTGTTGAAGATGAACTCGACGAGTGTTCATCAGACTCGGCGAGTCGGATGAAGGATCAATCGATGTTCATATCAGAGAGGAACTCGTCGAGTCATCGCTAAACTCGACGAGTAGAGTCGTGGATAAGGACGAGTAAAGGGAAGGGACTCGACGAGTTGACGGCCCAACTCGGCGAGTCCGGTCAACTAGAAGTTGACTTTTGACTTGGACTTGGTTGGGGGTAAAATGGTCATTTTACCCTAAGAGTAGATATCAGTTCTAACTGAGTGTTTGTGGGGATTGTAGCCGGAGGATTTTCGGAGCAGCAGCGGACGGAGGTTTCCCGCACAGATTATCAGCAGCTACTCGTACGAGGTGAGTTACATTGCTTGAGATCGACCCCTTTGGTCTGAATGCTGCTTGCTTTGTGCTTTGAGGGACTTTGAGTGATGGGAGTTAACTATTAGGTGAATACGTTAAGTCACATGTGATAAGGGTTGAATAATCTCAGAGGATTGGATTTGACCCTATTGCGCATCTCTTGTTTGAGTCTAACCGTTGTAGGGACGAGTCTTTTACTCGAAGGATTATCTGAGCCTCGTTACATGTGATGGTATTCAGGTAATTGCTAATTGGCATTACAATGAGGCCTTCAGCAGCTGAGGACCGGTTTGAGTGGTGTCAGAGAATTTCCCTAGGGTAAGCCTAGGATGAGAGTTGTAGAGATCAGTAACAGTAGTAGTGACTTGGTGGAGTCGAGGCGGTTCTTGAGGAAAGTACGGATAGATGTGGAAGGTAGTATGGGCCCGTACTACTGAAAGCAGAGGATCTGTACCTGAATCGAGAAAGGCTGAAGCGAGACCAAGGAGCTCGTGATGGATGTGATCCCTCTAGATGTATCAGTATCACTGACGATTGTCATTATGTATTGCAGAATGGTGGTACTACGTCCGAGGCCAGCAGTTGGCAGTTCGGGAGAGGGATCGGGTTCGGGATCAGGTTCCGAACCAGTGGATGAGAGGCTATGCGAGTTTATCTCGTCCGAGATCACTAGAGGCATCCTTGATTCGACCCCGGTCATCTTTGGGTCGATTAAGGAAGGGATTGTCGAGCTGATGGAGGATCGCCTCCGGGCGTTCAGGAGCAACATGGCGACCAGCCAGTAGGGATCGCGCACACTGTCCTTTAAGGACTTCAGGGGCAGTGGTGCGCCAGATTTCCATGGGGCGAAGGACCCCATTGTGGCCAGACGGTGGATTGCAGACATTGAGTCTGCACAGTTGACTAGCTTCTGCCCTGAGGGGTCGAAGGTGAGGTATGCAGCAGGATGCTTGAGAGACAGGGCCAGAGATTGGTGGGAGTCGGTTGGTGACTCTCTGGGAGCCTCGGTGGTTGAGGCTATGATGTGGCTGGGCTTTGTGACTCGGTTCAGAGCGGAGTTTGCACCTGCAGTGGAGCTCCAGCAGTTGGCGAGGGAGTTCTTAGATATGAGACAGACTACGGAGACTGTGGCGGAGATCACCGCCAAATTCCGGGAGAGGGCATTGCTAGTGCCCCAGTATGCGGGAGATGAGGACATGAGGAGGACCCGCTATCATGACATGCTGCGAGCCGACATTTGGGAGCATGTTAGTTTTTCAGCTTGCCCTACCCTGGAGTCCATGATTGCCAGAGCAAGGGAGAGGGAGATCGATCTGGAGCATTTCCGGAAGAGGAAGGTAGAGGAGGGGCAGACGATTGGGGCTTCGGGGAAGAAGCCCAAGGGATCAGATGGTAGGCCGAAAGGCCAGTCAGGACCAGGCCGCTGCAGGAAATGCGACAGCCCACATGAGGGGGCGTATAGATTGGGATCGTCGGGCTGCTACAAGTGCGGCAAGACGGGGCACTTCAGCAGGGATTGTACCGCCCATATACCGGATATTCAGACATCTGAGTTGCTGTGTTTCCACTGCAACCAGAGGGGCCACAAGAAGGCCAGCTGCCCCCAGTTGACAGCAGCAGCAGCGCCAGTGAAGGCGCCAGCTCCAGCGACCCTGCGGATTACTGATGGCCGGCAGGGCAAGTCAGAGGCTCCAGTGGTGAGGAGTCGGGCCTTCCAGTTGACTACCGAGGAGGCACGCGCTGCACCCGATGTGGTGACAGGTATGACCTCTTGTTATGCTTTTATGATATGCTGCTGTGTTTTTGATATGTTATGTATGTGCTCTGTTTAGGATCGTTCCATGTGAACGGTGTCCCAGTTCAGGTATTGTTTGATTCGGGTGCTACCCGATCATTCGTCTCTCTTGCGCTTAGCAAGAAGTTTCCTGAGTCTTCGGGCATGTTGGATTGCCCTCTAGAGGTCGAGATTGCGGACGACCGGTCAGTGCGAGCATCTGAGGTCTTTCGAGATTGTGTTTTGAGATTGTGCGATGAGCGTTATCTGGTAGACCTGGTTCCTATTCCATTGAGAGGGAACAAGGTGATTATAGGCATGGATTGGCTGAGCCCTAATGGGGCAGTGATTGACTGTGCGCAGCAGTTGGTGCAGATCAGGACCCCAAGTGGGGGAGAGCTGGTGATTCAGGGCGAGAGGCCACAGCGAGGACCAGCTTTATGTTCAGCAGCGAGAGATAGGCGTTACCTCCAGCAGGGTTACACAGGTTATGTACCTTATGTTATGGATACCCGGGAGGCGGGTAGGGCGACGGTGGGCGATGTGCCCGTGGTGCGAGAGTTCGCGGACGTATTCCCCGAGGAGCTGCCTGGGATACCTCCGGAGCGACAGGTGGAGTTCAGGATCGACCTAGTTCCTGGTGCGGCTCCGATAGCCAAGGTACCGTATCGGTTGGCTCCTCCCGAGATGCAGGAGTTGTCTACATAGCTACAGGAGCTGTTAGACAAGGGATTCATTAGACCTAGTAGTTCTCCCTGGGGAGCCCCGCATCTGTTCGTGAAGAAAAAGGACGGGTCGCATCGGATGTGTATAGACTATAGGGAGCTGAATAAGGTAACTGTGAAGAACCGTTACCCACTCCCAAGGATTGATGACCTCTTTGACCAGCTACAGGGAGCATCTTGGTTCTCCAAGATTGATTTGCGTTCAGGGTATCATCAGATGAAGGTCAGAGAGGAG